TAGGTCTATGGCCAATTCTATAGAACTAGTATTAAATGTGTAGATAATGCTCATTTATTCTTTGAGCATTACCCGAATTGTGGTTAACGTATAGCATCGCTGTGTGATCCTTGTTTTTATCTCAATGTCAGGGATCGACTCTCACTCAGAGTCAATCCCTTTTTGTTTTCAATAACCTCCAAATGCTGTACTTAAGAGGCAGACTGTGCTCTAAAACCAGGAGTTCTCCCCCAACATTGAAACGTATAACTTGTGTAACAAATTAAGTCAATTAAAATGTCTTTCGATATCAAAACCCCACTGTGTTTTGCTATCGTCTCTTGGGCCGCCCTATTGGGAGGTCAGGGAGCTAACCCGTGCTTGGGCCACTAACTCGGTGGTCAGGGCGCCAACACTCTTGGTTCGCAACCGCGTTCAGGGAGGAATCACTCACTTTAGGATCACACGCGTGATCACAGAGGCATTCGCCAGAGAACTCAACACAAGCCGTAAGTCTAGTTCGCGATTAGCTGTCAAATCGCCACCAATTACACCACTCGTGAGCACCGAATCGAGCTACACATCACCACCCAGTTATTGCCCACGATAAGTTTATTCAACAAACAACTCACACAGCGATGCTATACGTTAACCACAATTCGGGTAATGCTCAAAGAATAAATGAGCATTATCTACACATTTAATACTAGTTCTATAGAATTGGCCATAGACCTACAACTAGCTACAACGATCCTATAAACCACATTATTCATAGCTGAATTGGGGTTAAAATATAGACAATTAATGTACGTTACTATTTGGCGAAGAATATCCAAAATAGAGATATTTCTTAATTACGATACCAATGGTAATAATGAATATAATGTACAATAATGTACAATAAAATCAATATATTTAACACTATAGAGACTTAAGTAATAACGAAATCCATACTTTTGGCCCAAATTCATTCATATATCTAAATAACATCGAATCGCTGTGAGAAACATGAATGTAAAGCTATTATTCAAATCAATAAACATGTGTTTGTCATCTAATAGTGATCTACGAAAGAATCCATTTCGTAAATTTCCCGCAGGAATGTTCAATAACTTGACTTCACTCTCGCATATGTAAGTCTTGGTTACTATTTTTAAACACAATTTTTATTATCATTTAATTGATCACAATATATAATATTTCGTCAAAAATGAGTAAGATGGTAAAAACAGTTAAATATAATTGTATAAAATTAAGTGAAGTTTAGGTTTAATGCAGTTTTGCAAAAGAATATATATAATTTTTAAAATGAAAAATTGATATTTAAATTTCAAAGTCTAAGTGTATAGTACTGTAATGTATTAAAATTTGATGAACAGATATTTTGATGACTTTAAGCTGTGTTCGTATGCAATGCACGTAAGAATATGTGAGCCAAGAGGTGATGGGATCAGTAGCTTTCAGCACCTGTTGGACAATGTCGTGCTAAGAGTAAGCGTATGGATAGTAGCACTGGTGGCCTGTGTTGGCAACCTATTCGTCCTCATCGGCCGAATGATGATGCATGAGATGAACGAAGTATGAGTCCTATCCCTCCCTCTCCTTCCCTCACAATATTGCTCTCAAATTCAGTCCACAAATCATCACAACATTCGGCAACCGAAACAAATAAAGCGTTTTAACGATTCATATTTTGTTTTATTTTAATTTCTAAGAAAACAATTTATTTTCAATTAAATTTAGTTATATTTTATATAAATATTTTTTGTTTCATTTGATTATCGAACAAAAGTTGCCATTGATTTGTGAATTGAGGAACAAATATATGCATCACTTCATTAATCAGTGCAATCCCTGTCTCCCGCTTTCCCGATCACAACTATAGGTGCACTCGTTTTTCATCAAAAACCTGGCTCTGGCCGACCTATTGATGAGTCTATACCTATTCATAATCGCATATCACGACAATCTCTTCCGCGGCGAATATATCCGCCACGAGGAGCGATGGCGAGGCAGCTGGCAGTGCAATCTCTGCGGACTCCTCAGCACAATCAGCAGCGAGGCCTCCGTTTTCACGCTAACCATCATTACGATTGACAGATATCTATCGGTTTTATATCCATTCAGTCTTAAACGCCGTACAAAAACATTCGCTATGTTATCGATGAGCGCCGTTTGGATTATATCCATATTATTGGCTGTTATACCGCTTCTTGACTTTGAAATATTTGGCGATGAGTTTTATGGCAGTAATGGTGTTTGTCTGGCCCTTCAGATCCACGACCCCTACAGCAAGGGTTGGGAGTATTCATTATTCTTGTTCTGTGGCATCAATTCTGTTGCCTTTGCTTTCATTACAGTAAGTCTTTCGTGACATTTGAATGAAATTTGTTTGAAATACATTTCATTTTATTTATTGAACGAATAGTACGCTTACATTAGTATGTCGTCGACAATCACCAGCTCTGCGGTTGGTTTGCGGACAACACAACAAAAACAGGACCGAAATATTGCTAAAAGGTGTGGATTTATTGTGGCCACAGATTGCTTGTGTTGGATGCCTATTGTGTTGATCAAGATTCTCGCACTCGTCGGTAGGACTAACTATTACTTGAATAAAATGGTTAATTTCATTAATGTTATTTTAATGTCTATCAGGCGTTCCCATCAATGACTCTCTGTATGCCGTAATCGCTATATTCTTACTTCCCGTCAATTCCGGTAATAAAATTTTAAAGTTATAAATTATATAAATTATTAAAATGTTAATTAAAACCTCAAATGGTCGGAACAGCTCTAAACCCCGTGTTGTACACATTGACCACGAAGTTATTCAAACAGCATTTCTCCAAAATAATGACATACAGTATTGATTTGCACCGAAACGGGTCGACGGAAAGGGCGGACCAGCATTCGGGTACTTCTTATTCTACGATTATATCGCACTCAAGAAACCCTTTCAAACGGTCTTTACTGACCATCTGTTCAGAAGTAAGTCCGAGGATGTGTTCAATACTACAATACAGTCAAATTACTCGTCAGAACTTTTAACAATTAGACTATAAAACAAAAAATTATTAATACTTTAATTTCCAAAACAACCCAAAATGTTGTCAAGAATTTAAAGTAACTTTTAAGCACTTAATTACCAGTATATTTAAAACTCACTTTAAATTCAAACACTTATTGATTGATTCACAAAGCACTCGGACTTTAGACTAATAGCATGTTTGCAATGTTAACTATAATTGATTTTATTTGCACAAGTTTTATTATTTAATTTTAATTACTCTCATGTTTCTCCCAATGCTTTCGTTTGCTGTATTGTATTGTTGTGTAGGTATAGAAATGCCATCATTATTGAGATTAATTATCTTTACAATTGAATATCTGATCCAATGAATAGACAGACCCAGAAGTGGTGACCGACAGAGCGGTCAATATGACTCCGAAGGGCCACAAATTCGCGTTAACGCCAATCAAGAGATTGAGTTCTTCGGACTCCAGACAAAGCGAGACTTTTCTCTGAAATCAAAGACCAGACCATTGAGCGAACACTTGGCGTATAATATATGTGAATATAGAATGAAAACATTGAACAACACGTATAGATCAGAGAAACCAATGGCTATAAAGCATATTAAAGAGACTAATGTGGATAAGAATCGGAAAATGTATTTTATGTAAATATTATATTGATTTTCATCAAATGAAAAGTTAGATTAAACTTATTATTTCTAGTCTTATTAAAACTCATTTAAAATGTATATTCAGTCATATTTAGGAATAAAATGGTAAAAGTTTTTTGTGATAAATTACATTATTTTTATTAATGTGTCGACGACTGTAAAGCACTGCCCGAGAGATTCAACAGTTAATGAACCACAGAATCGGTTTAAGAATCTAGTCATGCAAACGGTTACTATCAAATGTATCGTTCAAAACCTGTTTGTTTAAAAAATCTAATTGTAAATCGTTTGGCGTTATTATAAAATTTGTTAAAAATATAAAACAGTTTATTCAATCAAAAAATATTGATAACAAATATAAACAAAAAACCGACAGAGCGGTCAATATGACTCCGAAGGGCCACAAATTCGCGTTAACGCCAATCAAGAGATTGAGTTCTTCGGACTCCAGACAAAGCGAGACTTTTCTCTGAAATCAAAGACCAGACCATTGAGCGAACACTTGGCGTATAATATATGTGAATATAGAATGAAAACATTGAACAACACGTATAGATCAGAGAAACCACTGGCTATAAAGCATATTAAAGAGACTAATGTGGATAAGAATCGGAAAATGTATTTTATGTAAATATTATATTGATTTTCATTAAATGAAAAGATAGCTTAAACTTATTATTTCTAGTCTTATTAAAACTTATTAAAATGTATATTCAGTCATATTTTGGAATAAAATGGTAAAAGTTTTTTGTGATAAATGACTTGATTTTTATTGATGTGTCGACGACTGTAAAGCACTGCCCGAGAGATTCAACAGTTAATGAACCACAGAATCAATTTAAGAATCTAGTCATGCAAACGGTTATTATCACATGTATCGTTCAAAACCTGTTTGTTTAAAAAATCTAATTGTAAATCGTTTGGCGTTATTATAAAATTTGTTAAAAATATAAAACAGTTTATTCAATCAAAAAATATTGATAACAAATATAAACAAAATAATTAAAACATATATTACATTAGTGTTTCATTGTATATAAAAGCTAATAAATATGATTATTAAATGCATATTGAATTAATTAGCAAAATGTGTGTCAATAAGTGTTATTTGTTTGAGTCGAGCTTCGGCTGGAGGTCTACTTGTTTGTTGACGTCTGCGGTGTTCGTCATAATCGCTGAACTCGTCTTTTTGGTCCAAACGGCAGAAATGGAGGGCTTTTTGTTGGGCGCGTTGTTTAGGAACTCCTCTTTCACTTCCTTTTCCATCACTTCTTTATTTATTCTGACGGCTTGAGTGATAGGACTGGGAGTTAGACTCGTTTGGAATACTCGTAATATAAGTCTACACAACAATACAATTGATAGTGAATGCCATTGAATGGAAGGAAGGATCACATACCTGGGCATTGGCGCCAATATTAAGATATACAAAAGGGTAATCCAGAATATACCCCTAGACATCACGTTCTGTCAATGTATATCCAAATGAGTATACAATCCATATAATGAACAGCAATAGTGGCAAACAATACCTGAATAACCATAAAGGCATCGGATGTAAACATTCCTCCCAGTGTTAGGTAGTTATAGATGTAAGCGAATGAGAAATAGCTAACAATACTGAAACTGATGGCCAGTAAGTGTAATATAGACCACGACCTGAACTCAATGGCCACATGAACCAAATGCTCTAAAATAGTTGCACTGAATACTATAGTTCCTAATGAATGCATACCAATAGTGTTA